AGTGGAAGCATAAGTATGAGTTGAATAAGTATTCTTTTTTCTTTTTTATTTTAATTATCGTTCATCTACAGTTTTCTGTCTTTTACTCCCAGCCCAGCCCACCTACCTGACCCTCCCCCCTCTCCTATTTCCACTCCCCCTAGTTTTTGTCCATGTGTCTTTTATAATTGTTCCTATAAACACTTCCCGTTTTCCCCTGAAATTCCCCTAAAATTCCACCCCTCTCCCCTCTGGACACTGTCAGCCTGTTCTGTATTTCAGTGTCTTTGGTTATATTTTGTTTGCTTGTTTGGTTTCTTGTTTAGGTTCCTGTTAAAGGTGAGATCATATGGTATTTGTCTTTCACCACCTGGCTTATTTTGCTTAGCATAATGCTCTCCAGTTCCATCCATTTCTGTTGCAAAGGGTAGGAGTTCCTTCTTTCTTTCTGCTATGTAGTATTCCATTGTGTAAATGTACCATAGTTTTTGGATCCATTCATTTACTGATGGGCACCTAGGTTGCTTCTAGCACTTGGCTATTGTAAATTGTGCTGCTATGAACATTGGGGTGCATAGGTTCTTTTGGATTGGTGTTTCAGGGTTCTTAGGGTATAATACTAGCAGTGGAATTGCTGGGTCAAAAGGTATATCCATTTTTAGTTTTCTGAGAAAATTCCATACTGTTTTCCAAAGTGGTTGTACCAGTCTGCAATCCCACCAATAGTGCACTAGGGTACCCTTTTCTCCACAACCTCTCCAACATTTGTCGTTTGTTGCTTTGTTTATGATGGCCATTCTCATTGGTATGAGAAGTGGTATCTCATTGTGGTTTTAATTTGCATCTCTCTGATAGCTAGTGATATCGAGCATCTTTTCATGTGTCTCTGGATCCTCTGTGTGTCCTCCTTGGAGAAGTGTCTGTTCAAGTCCTTTGCCCACTTTTTAATTGGCTTGCTTGTCTTCTTAAGTGGAGTCGTGTAAGTTTTTTTGTATATTTTGGAAATTAAACCCTTGTCTGAGGTATCATTGGCAAATAAGTTTTCCCATATGGTTTGTTCTCTTTTTATTTAATATTGTTTCCTTTAGCCATGCAGAAGCTTTTAATTTTGATGAGATCCCATTTGTTTATTCTTTATGTCCCTTGCTCTAGGGGACATATTAGTAAAAATGTTGCTGCATGAAACACCTGAGATTTTCTTGCCAATGTTTTCCTCTAGGACTTTAATGGTGTCATGGCTTATATTTAAGTCTTCTATCCACCTTGAATTTATTTTGGTGTATGGTGTAAGTTGGTGCTCAAGTTTCATTTTTTGCATGTAGTTGTCCAGTTCTCCCAACACCATTTGTTGAAGAGGCTATTTTTACTCCATTTTATGTTGCTGCCCCCTTGGTCAAATATTAATTGACCATAGAGACTTGGGTTTATTTCTGGGCACTCTGTTCTGTTCCACTGGTCCGTGTGCCTGTTTTTATGCCAGTACCAGGCTGTTTTGATTACAGTGGCCTTGTAATACAGTTTGGTATCAGGTATTGTGATCCCTCCTACTTTGTTCTTCTTTCTCAAAATTGCAGGAGCTATTCTGGGTCATTTATGGTTCCATATAAATTTTTGAAGTGTTCTATGTCTGTGAAATATGACATTAGCATATTACTATGCCACTGCATATTAAAGTACTAGTGTCTAGTACTTTAGTAGGTATTGCATGGAACCTGTAAATTGCTTTGGGTAGTATGGACATTTTGAGGATGTTAATTCTTCCAATCCATGACTCTCATCATTTTCTTGAATTCTTGTTTCTTCATTCTTTTTTGTTTGGTTCTTTCTTTCTTTCTTCTGGTCCACTCCCTTGATTTGAGTCCCAGTTTTCTTCCCATCACTATTGGTTCCCTATTCATTTTCCTTCATTTCACTTAGTGTAGCCTTCATTTTTTCATCTAATTTGCGACCAAATTCAACCAATTCTGTGAGCATCCTGATTGCCAGTGCTTTGAACGGTGCATCTGATAGGTTGGCTATCTCTTCGTCACTTAGTTGTATTTTTTCTGGAGCTTTGATCTGTTCTTCCGTTTGGGCCATTTTTTTGTTTTGTTTTGTCCCACCTGATATGTATGAGGGGCCTTAGGTGTTCACCAAGACAGGGCAACCCAAGTGGCTGGGTTGTGACGTTGTTTGTGGGGGCGGGGTCTGAGAAAGAACAATGGCGCTTGCTCTGCTCTCTGTCAGATTTCACTCCCTTCTGCTGCTTTTTCCAAGCAAACTGGGCCTTTCTGGTGCTGATTCCCATGTGGGTGGGCTTGTGTACATTCTAGGACCCCATGGGTCTCTCCAACAAACTCTCCTGTGAGGCTGGGTGTCTCTCCCAGCACCTCAACCCCCACAGGTATTTTCAATCAGTGTTTTGAGGCTTTATTTCTGTGCACTGGGTTGTGCGTTTTGTCTCATTTCCCAGTTTCACCTGGTTTATCTGCATGCGAATATCAGACCACCCAGTCAGCCAGCTGCCTTGTGCGCAGTGCCCCTCTTTGCAGTCGCTGCCTGCTGGGTCTGCCCATTGCCACACTGCACCTGGGGTTTGTCAGCTGCTGCTTTGCACTCCGGGTGCCACCACTTTTTTTGCCTCGACCCCTCTGCACCCTGCTGCTCGATTCTGCCCCTGGTACCAGTCTGGATGAATGTGTCTATTTTAACTCCTTGGTTGTCAGACTTCCATACAATTCAATTTTCTGTCAGTTCTGGTTGTAATTTTGTTTCCAAATTTTTGTTGTCCTTCTTTTGGTTGTGTGAGGAGGCACAGTGTGTCTACCTATGCTTGCATCTTGGTTGGAAGTCTGTAGTCTGAATAAATATTCTAAAATACAACAATTTCAAGTTTTTTGTGCCATAATCACCACTCCCCACCCCTAATGCCCCTTCCCAGCCGTTCAGTCTGTGAGAGGGAGAGTGGAGCCTGGAGCTCAGGACTTACGAGTCCTGACCCAGGACACTTTCCGCAATATGTAAGGCTATAATATAGCTGTGACTAAGGTAGTTCCAGGACTTTTATAACAGACCATAGTAATGACACTGCCACCGATGATCTATGTGACATCAGGCAAAGCACTCATTTCTTTGGGTATCAGATTCCTTATAGAAAAATGAGGGTGGAGGTTAGGGAGGACCCAGTAATCCCAAAGGCCCGTGCTGTCTGAGACTATGGCTCTAAGATCCAGTGGAACGCTGGACCGCAGGACTCAGAGAGCTTTGCACACCTGGTGTCTATAACTCTGATGACAGGCAGCAGTTTTGAGGAAGTGGGTGACACAGCAAACATCAAAAACACACAGAATATTTGCTTAAGGTCATTTCTGCCTCTTAGTCTTAATCAGCAATATTAAGTCGAAGGTTTCACTAAGAAATTCAGGCTGAAGACCTACAAAAAACAAAAAATACAAAACCACTTTTAAGAAGAAAGGGTATAAATTTGCCAGATAGACAGACATTTATTTTTTAAACTAGGAGAATTCTAGAGTGAACTTCTATTTAACTCTAAATGACTCTAAATACACATGAAAATATGGAGAAGTTCTTCAGCATATAACTGATTTAAAGATAATGCTAAAAATTACATGTTGCCACTCTCAAAAGGTGATTATAGACTAGCTAATAATTAAAAAAGCTGAATTCAAAAGTTTTCAAACTTTTGTGGCACTTTAGTGACTTACTAATTTTTTTCACAGCATATCTAGCCCCCCCAAAATATCTAAGAATTTCCGTTATTAAGCTGTTACTAGGTTATTATTAGGTCCTCACAACCTGATAGTAACAATTCTCATCATATCCAACAGATGTTGATGTGTTTCCCTTGCAAATTTCAAAGACTCCGCCATGTCCCTGTGAGTGGGGTTGACTGGTTGAATTTTGGATAAACAACCATTTTTTACTGTATTTCTCAAGCATTGCATAGAACATACACTAAAAATTATTCATTATCAATCTGAGGTTCAGTTTAACTAGATACCCTATGTTTTTATATATATTTATTAAATTTAGTGGATGACATTAGCCTATAAGATTATGTAGGTTTCAAGTGGATGTTTCTGCAATACATGATTTGTATCTTGCCTTGTGTGCCCACCACCCAAAGTCAAAGCACTTTCTCTCACCATATATTTGGCCCCCTTTACTATCCTCCCAGCCCCCTTTTTCTCTGGCAACCACCATACTGTTGTCTATGTCTTTGAGTTTTTATTTGTTATTTTTGTTTGTTTATTTGTTACTCTCAGTTTTATATCCAACATATGTGTGAAATCATGTGGTTCTTAACTTTTTCTGTCTGACTTATTTCACTTAATATCATATTCTAAGATCTATCTATGTTGTTGCAAATGATGCCCTGTATTTTTATTTGCTAAATCTGATGACCACACCAGTTAATTCACTGTGCCTCTCCAGATGCCTTGGTACGCAGTTTGGGAACTGTAATTCTATAGCCCTAGGCCAGTTTTTTAATGTAAAATTCTATTTATTTAGAATTAATAAATTATATGCATGAGTTTTTCCAAAAATTTTTAAATTATATTTATTATATAAATTTTATTATATTTATTACTAAATATAATAAAATTTCCCAAAATATTTTGTGATGGGTTTGTAAATAAGGAGGTTTAGATTATGAAAAGCAGGGTTTATGTTGACTGACAAAGTTCTGGCCTTTGCATGTTGAGCACTAAGCCAGTGCAGCATGATTTTTCCCCTTCACCTGAGGTCGCTTGAACAAAATCTGAATGCTAGACCAAAGCTTCCAGTACCACCATGGGACTTAATTCAACAGCCAAGGAAAATGAAGTTACATTGATTTTTGTTTATTTTCTAGTCCAATTTTATTATCTCTTAGTCATAATTATAGTTGCTCATGAGGGCAATAATTCCTTCGATTTAACAGCAGAAATAGTAACTCACTATGAAGAACAAATCTGGAGACCTTCATCAATTTAATAGTTAGGTGCCAGCCCAACTATTAAATTACATTTTTCTTCTAGGAAGCTTAGTGGATATACTATATACTTTTGCAAGTTGCTCAGACCTGCACTTGATCTTTGGTCTAAATGCCTTACTACGAACAGCAGATTTGCAGTGGAACAGTTCTAATGCCCAGTTGCTCCTGGATTACTGCTCTTCTAAGAGTTACAACATTTCTTGGGAACTAGGCAATGGTAAGTATACCTGGGCACATTTAATTAATGAGATTCCCCTTTGGAATTATTTGCTTCTATTTATGACATTCCTTTTTAATATACTTGTCAACACTTTTGTGCAGTGCTTAGCAGTGCAACTTTCAGGTGGCTTAAGGCAGAAAACTCCTTTGCATATCCTAGAACCTACTGCTAATCCCAGTTTATGTTACATTTGAACTGAAGGCAACTTGAAACCAGCAACTTCCACAGCGCCCAGGTTCCCTGGAGATTTTCAGGGTCACTTAAGACTATTGTGCTTGGTAGGCCGAACCCAGCAAGACTGTAAAGGGGGAAGTTTGCTTTTATGCTTCCATTCCTTTCTCTGTTCCTTGACTTGTCAGTTAATTTCAGCAGCCCCATTCCAATCCTCATGATATGCTCAAGCTAAAAGTTCCCAGTATAGAATCCAGATCGAGGTCCTGATTGTCTCCTTCTTTGCTCTTTTTTGCAAGGAACTTATAAAATCTTACTAAAGTGCAAATGACTAGCCACATTGATCCAAACATATTTATAATGTTTTCCACACATTAGCTAGTGGAACCAAAGATAAAATTGGAAATGAGATGTAGTAGTGTGATGGGCATAGTTCTGAGCACTTAATAAGTATTAATTTATATCTTTTAACCACCCTGAGGTGGATACAATCATGACCATTTCAAAGATGACAAAAGAAGCACAAAAAGGTTAGCTGAATAGCTTTGTGATGCTGTGCAACTCTTAGAGTATTCTTAGAGAAATTAAAATTTGAACCCAGGCAGTCTGACTTCAGAACAAGGTCTCTGCTCTCTTGTAACTTCCATCTGGAGGTAGGGAGCCAGACCAATAGGAAAACAAGCCAAGAAATGATGCATGCCTGTAGTGGTATGTGTTATGATAAAGTCTAGAAGCAAATTTTGTGATTGAGTTGCTGAGGATAGCTGGAAACTTGGAACATGAAAGCAGAATAGAAGGATAGAGGCAACTGTATCTTAGCTAGATGATGAACAATTTTACCTTAACAACCATATAAATAATAGATCATCTGAACCCATCCATATCCATCTTCATACATCCCTCCCTCCCTCCCTTTTTACCCTACATATGCCCAACTCCGTCTGCTCTTCAGAGTGAGATAAAAGAAAGATAATGTGTTTCCCTCTTTGGGGGCCCCTTTTGAAAAGAAAAGATCTGGTTTCCAGGGTGAAGCTATATTTGGGAAGTAGTTTGGACACTGTCTATGACTCCCTCCCATCTCTTCAGCTTTGCTTATTCTAGGCTCATTTGCACATATAATTTGTGAGTAAATAGTCTCAGTAAGATTTTTTTTAATTCTCGCTTATTGATTTTAGAGAGAGAGGAAGGGAGGGAGAGAGAGGGAAAGAGAAACATTTATTAGTTGCCTCCCATATGTTCCTTGTTCCCTGACTGGGGATTGAATCCATAACCTCGATATGTGCCCTGACCAGGAATTGAAGCTGCAACCTTTTGGTTCACAGGATGACACTCCAACAAACGGAGCCACACAAGCCAGGGCATGCCTTAGTAATACTTTTTATTGCATTGTAGAAACTGCTTTTGAAATGTCTTTCCTCAAAGCAAAAAAAAAAATTAGGTTATTAAAATCCTGAATATAATTTTTTTCAGCTATCCATTTGTTTAATGTCCCCACCATTCATTTCAAATAGTTTAAATACCCCATCATACTTATTGTTACATAATTTAAGATTTTATTTTTCTGCAATATCTTCTTTATAACTAGAGGTTCGACTTTCCTCACTTTGGATTCTAAGTTTTTATAATTTGAAAAATGCTTTGTTGCTTTTAAAATATGCTGCTGTTATGTTTGCTGGTAAATAAGAAATTTGTACATAGTGATTATTTTGAAAATTGCTCTTTCAGAACCTAACAGTTTCCAGAAGAAGGCTGGTATTTTCATCGATGGATTGCAGTTAGGAGAAGATTTTATTAAGTTGCATAAACTTCTAGAAAAATCTGCTTTCAAAAATGCAAATCTCTATGGTCCTGATGTCGGTCAGCCTCGAGGAAAGACTGTTAAGATGCTGAGGAAGTAAGAGCTTGAGGAAGCAAAGTCACTTTTCTTAAAAATAAGATTTCTTTGTTGTGTGGAATCCTTGATAGTCCACCTGTTATTAAACAGTTTGCTACCTGATTAGATGGTTTACTGAAAGAGAAAACATTGACTGGCTCCAAATACCAAGGAGCAAGTCAATGGAGCAAATGGTGCCTATGATAAAATTTGTATCTGAGCTAGGAAGTTTGTGTTTGCCTGATCCTAAAGTAGTAAACATCCCATTTCTGAGGAATCAACCTCTTCTGCATATATTGTATATACGCACTTTGTTTATGAGTATTTAGCGATAACATAATAGATTTTTTTTTCTAGTTTCCTGAAGGCTGGGGGAGAAGTGATTGATTCAGTTACATGGCATCAGTAAGTATGTCTCCTGTTCTTAGTACTGAAAAATACTGCTAGCTGTACTTATTATTTAGTTTCAAAAAATTATTTCCATTTAGCTCCTAATAGGCTTTTTAGTTCAAGTAAGAATCATATAGTGTCTCAAACAGTACTGTACTAGAATTTAATATTAACCAAATAAAATTTTAAACTTATTTTAAGGAATGTGGTTGTTTCTACATGATCAAGGCACACTCTCCTTTAACCCATGGAGCAGGTAAGTAGCTAAAGCCAATATGCTTGCCAGAGGACAAGTGACAGTAACCCACGTGTACCTGCTCTGGTGACTGTGTCTTCTCAAGACAGAGTAACAGATCCCCTCATTCTGTCTTGGTCTCTCTATACTAAAAATTTTTCTTTTTTTTCATAACAGGGAAGTTGGAAGGGGTAGTAAAAAGTGCAAGTTCAGCCAATGAACTCTAAAGTAGAAAGTAAAGGTTGTTATTTTTTTCTGAATATTTTCTAATAATTTAGCTATTACTTGGATGGGCGAACTGCTACCAAAGAAGATTTTCTAAACCCTGATGTGTTGGACACTTTTATTTCACCTGTGCAAAAAATTTTTCAGGTAATAGTCTTTTTTTCTTTTTAATGTAAAACCAGAATCCTTATTGGTTTAAGATTGGTGCTATAATCCTAAAGGATTGGTTTAGCTGGTGCTACATTTATATCTATATGAATTTATGTGCTTTCTAATTTTAGAGAACAAGCACTAGTCTTACTCACCTTCAGTTTCCCCTTAGCATCAGGTCTTATCCATGTACATTGATTAGAAATTTAAAATACATCCCCTGGCTGGAGTGGCTCAGTGGCTTGAGTGCCAGCCTGCGAACCAAAGTGTTGCCAGTTTGATTCCCAGTAAGAGAACATACCTGGGTTACAGGCCAGGTCCCAAGTTGGGGAAACATGAGAGGCAACCACACATTAATGTTTCTCTCCCTCTCTTTCTCCTTCCCTTCCCCTCCTTAAAAAATAAATAAATAAGATCTCTTTTAAAAATGTAAAAATTCTTCCAACAATAATAACAATAAAAAATACTTCTAATAGCCTTTTGGTAGAATTAACTTTCGTAGGCCATGAAAATGGGATCATTTACATTTCTTCTACACCTAGTATTCCAGTAAAAGTACATTGCTCAAGACCTAAATGTCTGTAAACATTTATTTTGTAACTATTTTTGACAAATGGGTCTGGGAATACAAGATTTTGAATATTGTTAATCTTCAACACCATAACTGGTCAGCTTGCTTGCAGTTACCATGGAGATGTTCCTATTCCGTAGATTGTTGAGAAGACCAGACCCCACAAGAAGGTTTGGTTAGGAGAAACAAGCTCTGCATATGGAGGTGGAGCACCCTTGCTGTCCGACACCTTTGCGGCTGGTTTTATGTAAGTGAAGTGTCACTTGCCTCAGGGAGCAGATTGCAGCATGCTCTTAGTCTATTTGGTTGAAATAGTTCACCAGCCAAAAATCTCATCAAACATGGTTTCTGTGGATGAGCCCAAAAATTTGTCCCAGATTTTGCAAGAAAATGATTTACTAAAAGCTTTTTGGGCATCTTTAATGTGTATTCCAAATTAATCACTGTATGAATGAATTGCTTTAGAAGTTTTGTTCTTTAATTATGGCCCATGAACATGCCAAGGATTCCTCTTCTAAAGAAGTGCTTTGTAAAACAAAAATACATTGTAAAGTAGTGTATCTAGAGCCCTGACTCTAAGAAGCACATTTAGTACATGCTATACAGTATTTATAGATTTCCAGCAAGATTGGAGCCTGACGTATGTATGAGGTCACACCAGCAGGGCTTCCAGTGAATTTAAAGATTTACTACATCACCTCCTATGCCAACCACCACAAACTTGATTGCTTTAAACAGCTGGTTACTTTGCCAGCGGTGTTAATACTATCATGGTTTCTTGCCCTTAAGATGCTTTATAATTATTAAATAAAGCTAATTTTTTTATTTTAACTTTTTGAAGAATAACAATTGGTTAACTTGTATTTCATAATCCTTTTCCCACTCTTAATTTATAGTTCTATGCTCTCACATTGAGACTTATCCTCTTTCCTCTCCTACCTACATTCTCGTAAACCCAGAAAAAAGTGTAAATTGTTTATCTTCATAGGAGCATGAAGAATAGAAAAAAGAATGGAAATGTTTGTTTTGCCATTAACTAAGGATGAAGGGCAGGAGGTGTCCATAAAAGTTTGAGTGTGATTCTATTTATTTCACATTTTACTACTATTGACTACAAGCAACCCTTAGACCTCAGGTGGTAACTGGGGGTACACGCACGGACAAGGAATAATTAATTACCTATAGAGGTGGGAATTTGTCCACTCTGCTTTGTAGATGTTGCCTTACCCTGAAGGGGATAGTAATGCCACTTCAGTGGCATAGTAATAGTCTTCTAGGATTTGTTATGGGAGCATGTGAAGGAAAGGGTAGTCTCCATTTCATTTGAATAACTTATTTATATTGAATGCCAGTTTTCTGGTTTCCTATCATTTCCTCACTGATGAATAAATTAGAATGGTCTATAATTAGAAATAAGTTATTTTGTTTTTAAAACCCAAAGAAAGCTGGGTTTCACTCCATTGCAGGTGGCTGGATAAATTGGGCCTGTCAGCCAGACTGGGCATAGAAGTGGTGATGAGGCAAGTATTCTTCGGAGCTGGAAACTACCACTTAGTAGATGAAAACTTTGAACCTTTACCTGTAAGTGGCCACTATTCTTCTATTTCTGTGATTAGAGTATACTGAAGACCCCTTGTATTAACCACCCATGATTGTCAATCCTCTCAATAAATGCAGTGCTCTCCATAAGTAGCCAAACCTTGGAGAAGTGAACAGGAGAAAACTTTAGAGATAATCCATTCTAACATTTTTTGTGTCTCAGAAGAACAAATTGAGACCTAGGAATAATGTTTTTAATTTATTTTTTTTATTGATTATGCTGTTACAGTTGTTCTATTCCCCCTTTATTCCCCTCCACCCTACCCCTCATCCCCACCATTACCCCCCCTTTAGTTTATGACCATGTGTCTCAAGTCCTTTAGATTCTATATTTCCCATGCTATTCTTACCCTCCCCCCATCTATTTTTTATCTACTGTCTATGCTACTTATTTTCTGTACCTTCTCCCCTCTTCTCCTCCTCCCACTCCCCTGTTGCTAACCCTCCTTGAGATCTTCATTTCTATGTTTCCACTCCTGATCTAGCTGTCCTTTTAGTTTGCTTTTGTTTTAGGTGTGGTTGTTAATAACTGTGAGTTTGTTGTCCTTTCACTGTTCATGTTTCTTTAACTTTTTTTTCTTAGATAAGTCCCTTTAACATTTCATATAATAAGGGCTTGGTGATGATGAACTCCTTGAATTGGATCTTATCTGAGAAGCACTTTATCTGTCCTTCCATTTTAAATGAAAGTTTTGCTGGATAGAGCAATCTTGGTTGTAGGTCTTTAGATTTCATGACTTGGAATACCTCTTTCCAGCCCCTTCTTGCCTGTAAGGTCTCTTTTGAGAAATCAGCTGACAGTCTGATGGGGACTCCTTTGTAGGTGACTGTCCCCTTAGCTCTTGCTGCTTCTAGGATTGTCTCCTTCATTTTAATCTTGGCTAATGTAATTACGATGTGCCTTGGTGTGTTCCTTCTTGGGTCCAACTTCTTTGGTACTCTCTGAGCTTCCTGGATTTCCTGGAAGTCTATTTCCCTTTGCCAGATTGGGAAAATTCTCCTTTATTATTTGTTCAAATAAGTTTTCCACTGGTGGCTGTGCCTTTCCCCCTTCTGGTACCCCTATAATTCGGATGTTGGAGCGTTTAAAGATGTCCTGGAGGTTCCTAAGACTCTCCTCATTTCTTTGAATTCTTGCTTCTTCACTCTTTTCTGTTTGGCCATTATTTGCTTTCCTCTGGTCCACTCCATTGATTTGAGTCCCAGTTTCCTTTTCATTGCTATTGGTGTCCTGTGCAATTCCATTCATTTCAATTAGTTTCGCCTTCATATATTTGTCTAATTTGTCGATATAATCAACCAGTTCTGTGAGGATCCTGATCACCAATGTTTTAAACTGTGCGTCTGTGAGTTTTGCTATTTCTTCATCGCTTAGATCTATTGGCTCTGGGGCTCTGAGATCCTCCTGCGCCATTCTTGGTCTGTTCGGGCCCTTTAAGTGTGAGAAGCGGCGCCTTGGATTCCCAGGTCGCTGGGTTGTGACTTGTGACGCTGTATGTGGGGGCGTGGCCAGAGCGGGAAAATGGCGACCTCCCCTCTGCCGCTTCTCACAGCTGGGTGCGGAGGAGCAGTGCCTTAGATGGTTCACCTGGGCCGGGCCGCTCAGAGTCGCTGGGTTATGACGCTGTATGTGGAGGTGGGGTCAGAGCAGGGAAATGGTGGCGTCCTCCACTGCCGCTTGCCGTGGGGACCTGCGGGCCTGGTCCAACCGCCCACTCCCTCGCCTGTCCACCCGCGCACAAATGCGCGACCTCAGTCAACACGCAGCCCCGGGCCGGGCTGTCTCCCCCATGGTCGCTCGCCTGGTCGCTCGCTGGGTCGCTCACTAGGTCTGACCCTGTGCCTGGATTCCGCGGGCCTGAGTGTGTCTGGCCGAGTCCTCCTGTGCAACCCTGCTCCGCCAGCCGCTGGTTTCGCCCCTTACCGGTCAGGCTGAAGAATTTGTTGTTAACGGACTTCCGAAAAGTTCAATTTTCCGTGTTCTGGCTGTGTTTTCTGTTGGTAATATTTAGTTTTCTCTAATCTTGGTTGTGTGAGAAGGCACGGCACATCCACCTATGCCTCCATCTTGGCGGAAGTCCTCGGAATAATGTTTTTAATGTGGGCCATTCTGGACATGGCATGGGATTTCTTAAAAAGGAGTCATTTGATTCCTGGCTGGTGGGGCACAGTGGACTGAGAGCCAGCCTGCAAACTGAAAGGTCTCTTGTTCAATTCCTGGTCAAGGCACCTGCCTGGGTTGCAACCAGATTCTCAGTTGGGGGCATGGGAGAGGCAACCAATAGATTTTTCTCCCTCCCTTCTTCTATCTTTAAAAATAAATAAATAAAATCTTTTAAAAAGGGGGAGTTTGCTTGAAAATGTATGACTCTAGTTTTACAAGATATTAAATTTGGATCAAAAATGTTTTACAAAATAAATCAAAGTTAAAATTGTTTACAATATCCAAAGTTTTGAAACTTTTATGTCATAAAATCATAATTTATTAAGATAAGCTGGTAGTACCATGCATTTGTTCAAAAATCTCACCCTAAGAATTGGCTATTTTCTTGATAATCTTCAAGATATTTATGAATTTAAAAAACAGGTCTAATGTCTACCCTGCCTTCAACTCCACCTAGTGCTAAATTAAGTAATGTAGCCTTTCCATCTAAAAAGCCATCAGAATATATATGTGACTAGAAGAATGACCTTGATTTTTATTGTCTAAAATGACATTTGAAAATCTAAATGTTAATTAAAGTTGACATTAAGAAGTATAACACTACTTCCCTCATAAAAGCTAAAAATAAAATAAAATAAACTGACATTTGAGAATATCTGTTTTCTAGGAATAATTCTTAAAGAAAAGGAATGCTAAGAAGGTTTGCAAAAAACACATGCCAAAATATAAGCTAACCTTCTATGGTCTATAGCTAGATTTCCCAACAAAATTGCTTTTAATATATAGTGGTCCAAGCTCATGGAGAAGACTGTTCATAACTTTAAGAAAATTCTTCAGAAAATGACCTTGTACAAAATCAAATCTATCTTCCTCAAGGATATTATGAGCCATCTATAGGGTTAAACCAAACATGATAATTTCATTAGACAAGTACCAAAATCTACTGCTGGCCCTTTCTTTTTTCTTTGTTTAATTGTTTTTCAAGTACAGTTGTCTCCATTTTCTACCTTCCACTCCCCACCCCACCCCACCCATGCCCCCACTTCCTACCCCATTTGGCTTTATCCATGTGTCCTTTATACGTGTTCCTTGATGGCCCTTTCCCTATATTCCCCATTATCCCTCTTCCTACCCCTCCTGTTATCATCAGTCTATTTTTTAATTCAATGTCTCTGTATGCTGTTGCAAAGGATAGGAGCTCCTTCTTTATGCTGCAGAGTATTCTATTGTGTAAATGTACCATCATTTTTTATCCATTTATTTATAGACAGGCACTTAGGTTGCTTCCAGGCCTTTCTTAAATGTACCTTGAACAAGAAAGGTAAATAGTTTCCACAAAATTTACTTTGAGTACAACACTTAGAAATTAGCCAGCTTATCTTGTCACTCTTTGTAAATAGTGCCAGTTATTTATTATGTTACCTAAATCTTCTCAGTGCCCAGACATAAACCTTTGGCTTCAGAACCCTTTTATATGCATTAAATGTACTTCTTCCTCAAGGTGCAGAATCAGCTAGCAAAACTTGCAGGAATAAATGCACTGTGTTACTATGAAGATGATCCAAGGGAACTAACCTAACACCCATTGTACATGTCTGTTTTCTTATTTAATTTGCATACCAATTCCATAAAGGTAGCAAGGTAGGTATCTTAGATCCATTTTTCAGATGAGAATTTTGTGATTAAGATGTAGTCACCGGACTTGCTCAAGGTTACACAGTTGTCCGATGTTATTCTGAAGACTCCTGCCTCCCAGGCCTGTGAGTGTTCTGCTCTGCCCATAACTGAACCATGCTAAAGTTATGTCTCTGAAACATTCCATTAATTCTACTCTTGTCTCAAAAGGAGATTTGAATTGGAATTTAAGCATAGAAACAAAAGCTGCCCTGTTGACACTACTTAGCTCAAGAAGGAAGAATTGAGGTATATAGGAAGTGTTTTTTTTTAAACTTCTTATTATGGAAAAATTCAAAGTGAGAGAAAAGTATATGAATCACCAATCTTGTTTGATCTACAATTCTACCCAATCCTCATCTCCCACTTACTGTATTACTTTCAAGCAAATTTCAGCTATATCACTTTATCCATAAATATTTCAGTATGTCTCTCCTTTGTAAAAACATAATAATATCATTATTATACTTTAAAATATTAACAGCAATTCCTCAGTATCATCTAATATTAAGTTAGTGTTTCATATTTTTCTTATCATCACAAATATTTTAATAGTATATTCAAATGCAGAAGGCTCACATATAGTATTTGGTTGATATATATCCTAAGTCTATTAGTATTTAAGTTCTTTTTCCCTCTCTTTTTTTGGTCCTTTGGAATTTACTAATGAAAGACAGCAGGTAATTTGTTCTACAGTGTTTCCCACATTCTTGATTTTGCTAAATTTATTCATTTAGCATGTTTCTCTGTCCCCTAAATTTCCTGTAAACTGGTAGTTAAAACTAGAGGCTTGAGCTTACTCAGATTTTTTTGTTTTGTTTTGCAAGAATTATTTATAGGCAATGTTGTGTGCTTCCATCAACAGACACATAATATTTGGTTGTCTTTTTTATATCTAGTGATCATTGTTCCTTAATCTATTACTTTATTAAGGGGTTTTAAACAAAGTATTTTAATCTCTTAAACAGAAATTTTATTTTAAAAGCTTGTCTTTATGTTGTGTGTGTCTAAAAGTTCTGCTTTGAGGTTTGCTTTCAATTTTTAGATGATAGACAGCAGACTATTTAAACTGTTTCTGAGTTGTGAATTACAGTCTTGAGCTACATCTCCTAGCAGGCATGGTCCCCTGAATTGTGGAAGTATAGTGCTCTTGTGATAAAAAGCAGCAAACAAAATATTGCCCTCAGGGGTAACACAAACCAAAAGGTGAATCCTATTTAAATACCTCCAGAATAACAGGTGCACTCTTTGTAGTAGAACTACTTGCTTGGCGTGGTTTTTATTAAATAAAGAACTAAGTAAAGATCTGTTTTCATCCCTTCCTTTCCCAATCACCACAACTAGGATTATTGGCTCTCTCTTCTATTCAAGAAACTGGTAGGCACCAGTGTATTAATGGCGAGTGTGAAAGGTCGAGCCAGAAGCAAACTTCGAGTATACCTTCATTGCACAAACATCAACCAGTAAGTAAGCAACACATTCTTTACAAACCAAGTTTTAATTAACAGGCACATAGCTTCCTACTGTGATGCCCTGCTGTCCTCTATCTATCCAGAGGGCCTAAGCTGTGTCATCATTCTTCATTTTTTCCTATTCATAATGACTGGTGCCAGAGTCTAACTAAAAAAAAAAACCCATAGTTTAAGTATTAGCATTTGAGTTTTATAATGACTTTAATTGTTATAATCCATAATTGATATATAGCCTAAATTTAAATGAAGACTAGTACCAATATATTTATATATGAACAATTACTTCATTGAATGACTATGAGTGAATATAAATATAAATTCATATGAATAAATAATTATATGAATATACTTATCCCCTTGCATCATATCTGATCAATTTAATAAGGAAGAAGGATTGAAAAACAATAACAACAACAATCTTGTTTTCAAGTTTCAATTCAGTTTCTGAGAATACAAGATCACAGAGATTTCTATAGTTCAGTATTTAGAACTTACTAGCAAAAAATGCTCCCAAATCTCAGAGATTTTTTTCTTCTTCTTAGTTTCAATCTGTTTTTCCTGATAAAATGATAATGAAAATACCAGTTCTAGACTAATAGCCACCCAACACTTCCATTTTCTGGTAAGTGCAGTCCACGGGCAGTGAGAGCCCCATGGGAAGAAGTCAGGGAGTAGTTTGGATAGATAAATTCTGAAAAGTGACAATAGATTTAATTTTCTTGTTTGCTTCACTTTTTTCATAAGGCTAGAAAGAGCCCCTGTTTATATGGTTTATAATTTGACTGCACATGAACCCACAAAATTCAACTTTTACCATTTAACCTTCCTATATTTGAAAATGAATAAGCTGACTGGCTTCTAGCGACTCAACCTGGCAAAACAGCAAAGATTTCAGAGTGCTCTGGAACAGAAAATGATGCTGTGAAGAGCAATATTTATAATTATGTTTTCAACTAGGACCACATTAGTGGTCTTACATCATCGTAAAAGGAAGAGTAAAAAGAGGGCCCATCATCATTATAAATACTTGCTATCCATAATTATATTTGTAATCAAGTTTTTAATTGCTTAAGTGAGATAAATATTTTATTGAGTTAATCTATCTGCTTTTAGCCCAAGGTATAAAGAAGGAGATTTAACTCTGTATGCTTTAAATCTTCATAATGTCACCGAGCACTTCCAGTTACCACATTACTTATCTGACAAAGAAGTGGACAGATATCTTGTAAAACCTTCAGGACCTGATGGATTATTTTCCAAGTGAGTTATTTTCCTTGTTCATTTTAAACTTTCACCAAATTTATCAGTGTTTATCAGAATAGGGAGTATTGATAGGAAGAAAAAATAGTCAACTATATCAAGTATTAACAACTCTTAATATTCAGAAAGTATACACACACACACACACACATTACCTATTAGTACAGGTATAACTCTGAGAGTCAAAAGCAGAAGAACATGAACAAAAGCTAGCAGTTATCATAGGGAGTAGTTTGCATTTTAAAACAATTTTATATAAATGCATTTAGATTATTATCTCTAAAAAACACATAATTCCACCCTGGCTGGTATAGCTCAGTAGATTGAGTGCCAGCCTGAGAACCAAGGGGTTGCTGGTTCAATTCCCAGTCAGGGCACATGCCTGGGTTGTGGGCCAGGTCCCTAGTAGGGGACACATGAGAGGCAACCATACATTGATGTTTTTCTCCCTCTTTTTCCCCCTCCCTCCCCCTCTCTCTCAATACTAATACATAAATTCTTTTTTAAAAAGGCATAGTTCCTGGTAACACAGTTGCAAAAGCAAATCATACCTGTATAAAATTGCTATTAAGGGCATGGGGATTGGTGTAAACTGTTCTATTATGTGAGCAGGTGTGATTCTCTAACTGCATTAAAGTAATTTTCTTAATTAGTTAGAGTAAGAAAAAAAATAGCCAAAAATATGCTTTTAGATGGATTATTTGAAGTTGGTTCAAACACATTTTGGTTTTAAAAACCAGTCATTCAATAAATCTCATAAAACACCATATTTAATAGAATATCCAAGAATGACTATGAGCTTTAAAGAGTTAGGCACACAAATATTGTCAGATTTCTGTTTAATCTGTTTTATAAGGAGCTCTTTTCATCATGGCAATTCTCAGATTGATGATTAAAAAATTAAGGGTTTACAACATTCTCACCATCTCCTCCTGTCTTTGCAAATGCTGTATGAGTGATGTTTTCAGTGACAATTAGCATCATAACCTGAAAAAGGACATTAAGCATGTTTCTCCAAAGTCCTATCCCCCATAGACAACATAATTAACAGTGGATATCATTCCTTCATTTTTTCCCTGGGCTTTCTTTGACTACAACTGTAATTGTACAATCTCTAGTGGAGAAAAGAGAGGAGGAATCCACAAGTTTTCCCATGTCTTTCCATGTGCAGCCTTTGTAGACATTTTTAAGGTTTTTTTTTTTAATTGAAATTTTTTTGGTGGCATTGGTTAATGAAATTATATAGTTTTCTATAATACATCATCTGTATATTGTACTGTGTGTTCACCACCCTGTAGACATTTTTAATGGGTTGCATGTTTTTATGAAACCCCATGACTTACTTACCCACTTTTCTACTATTTAAAGGTCTTTTTTCCTATTGTAAATAACGCATATTTGAATAACAGATACTTTTCTCTGCGTTCTGACTCTTTTTGAAGTGGGTATTTTAAGCATATTTGTGTCTGATGCTGATAAGGAAAAAGCTTTTGTAAAGTAATTCAGTAAGAGCAGTAGAGTTGGAAGTGTATTAAGATCATTTTAGTCCAACTTTAGATGGGTATCTAAGACCATTCATCTCTGATTCCTCCTCTGATCAAGCTCACAGCCTTTCCCTGTGACTGTTCTTCCAGGAAGGGGTAAAGGGAGCCACTCTGTGTCTTCTTTCTAATGCTCTTAGCTCTGTTTTCTAGGGCAGAGGTTAGAAACTATACCTCATGCCTGTGGACAAGGGGGTTTAGAGGATTTTCTTTTCCCTCTTTTCCTGGAAGGGGAGGTTGGCATGCACTCTGTGTTATTTTTTATTTGAAATTAGTTGTCAACTTTTAACAATTGATAGCTAGTAAAAAATCTTTAAAAGACTTCCCAGCCAAGATGGAGGCATAGGTAGCCACACTATACCTCCTCACACGACCAAAAGAAAAACAACAACAATTTAAAAGCAACAAAAACTGACAGAAAATCTAACTGTATGGAAGTCTAACAACCAAGAAGTTAAAGAAGACACATTCGTCAAGACCAGTAGGAGGGGCAGAGTCGGGCAGCCAGGACAGAGAGGACTTGCTGAAAGGCATTGGCTGGCAGACCAGTGAAGCCATGGATTGTGGAATAAGGTGCAGTGTGCAAGGCTGGAGCTGGCCAGCAAGGCAGGGGCTGGTGGACTGGATGGTCCCACATTCATGTGGAGATAAACAAGGCAAAACTGGAGGGTGCAACAGACAGCACAACCCAGGGTCCCAGTACAGGAAATAAAGCCTCAAACCATGGATTGAAAACACATGTGGGGATTGAGGTAGTGAGAGAAACTCCCCACCTCACAGGAGAGTTGGTTGGAGAGACCCACAGGGTCCTAGAATGTACACAAACTTACCCACATGGGAATCAGCGCCAGAAGGACCCAATTTGCTTGTGGGTAGCGGTGGAAGTGACTGAAATCCATCAGAGAGCTGAGCAAGCGCCATTGTTCTTTCTTGGACGCCTTCCCCACATACAGCACCACAACCCAGCAACATGGGTTACCCTGCCCAGGTGAATACCTAAGGCTTTGCCCTTTACCATGTAACAGGCACATCAAGACAAGAAAAAAAAATGGTCCAAACAAAAGAACAGATCCACGCTCCAGAAAAAATACAACTCGGCAACAAAGATCAGCCAACCTACCGGATGCACAATTCAAAACACTGGTAATCAGGATACTCACAGAGTTAGTGGAATTTGGTCACAAATTAGATGAGAAAGTGAAGGCTATAAAAAGTTAAATAAAGGAAAATGTGCAGGGAATCAATAATTATGAGAAGGAAACTGGGACTCAAATCAATGGTATGGATCAGAAGGAAGAAAGAAACATCCAATCAGAAAAGAATGAAGAAACAAGAATTTTAAAAAATGAGGAGAGGCTTAGGAACTTTCAGGACATCTTTAAACGTTCTAACATCTGAATTATAGGGGTACCAGAAAGAGAAGAAGAAGAGCAACAAGTGAAAAATTATTTGAACAAATAATAAAGGAGAATTTCCCCAATCTGGCAAAGGAAATAGACTTCCTGGAAGTCCAGGAAGCTCAGAGTCCCAAAGAAGTTGAATCCAAGGAGGGACACACAAAGGCACATCATCATTAAGTTACCCAAGATTAAAATGAAGAAGAGAATTCTAGAATCAGCAAGAGAAGAAGCAGTTACCTACAAAGGAGTTCCTATCAGACTGTCAGCTGATTTCTCAAAAGAGACCTTGCAGGCAAGAAGGGGCTTGAAAGAAGTATTCCAAGCCATGAAAGGCAAGGACCTACATCCAAGATTGCTCTATCATTTAGAGCAAAGCTATCATTTAGAATGGAAGGGCAGATAAAGTACTTCTCAAAGTTAAAGGAGTTCATCATCACCAAGCCCTTATTATATGAAATGTCAAGGGGGGGACTTATCTAGGAAAAGGAAGGTAAAAAATATGTACAGTAAAATGACAGCAAACTCACAATTATTAACAACCATACCTAAAGCAAAAACAAAACAAACTAAGCAAACAACTAGAACAGGGACAGAGCCACAGAAATGGAGATTACATAGAGGGTTATCAACAGGGGAGGGGGAGAGAGTGGGGAAAGGTACAGAGAATGAGTAGCATAGATGGTAGGTAGAAAATAGATAAGGGGAGGGTAAGAATAGCATGGGAAATGTAGAAGCCAAAGAACTTATATGTGTGACACATGGACATGAACTAAAGGGGGGAAATGTGGGTGGGAGGGGGCATGCAGGGTGAAGATGAGTGAAGGGGTAGAAATGGGACAACTGTAATAGCATAATCAATAAAATATGTATATTTAAAAATCTTTAGAAATGGCAGTTCTGGCCAAGATGGAAGTATAGGTACAAACCCTTTGCTTCTTCACATAACCAAAGAGAGGATAACATTAGGAAACAACCAGAAGTGCCAGAAAATCAAACTGCATGGAACTCCAACAACCAAGGAATTAAAGAAAACATCAAACAGAATAACTGTAACAGTAAGAACCTGTGGTGAGGTGGCGGACCAGGTGGGCGGGGCTGGCTAAAGCCAAAACTGAAGACTCAGAGCTTACTATGTACTACAGGGATTGCAGTCGTGGGAGAAGCTCCCAGTCTCACATGAGAGTTTGTTGGGAAGTTAGCTAGAGATGAGCAGGAGGGCCAAAATGTTCTCTCTCTGGCCCCTCCCCCACAGGCAGCCCCATAGTGCAGCAAAGAGGGTTCTCTTGCCCTGGTGAATACCTAAGCCCCCACCCTTACAACTCAACAGGTGTGCCCAGACAAAGAAATATGGCCCAGATGAAAGAACAGCAAAACATCAGAAAGGTAGCTAAGCAATGAGGCAATAGCCAACCTATCTGATGGAGAATTTAAAGCCCTGGTAATCAAAATGCTCACAGATCTGACTGAGCTTGGTCGAAAAATGAGAAAACAAATGAAAGATATCAAAAATGAAATAAAGCAAAATATTCAAGGGACCAACAGTGACAGGAAGGAAACCAGGACTCGAAGAAACAATTTGGAACAAAAGGAAAAGATAAACATCCCATGGAAACAGAATGAAGAAACAAGATTCAAAAAAGTGAAGAGAGGCTTTGGAACCTCTGAGACAACCTGAACATACCAATATCCAAATTATATATGTGCTAAGAGAAGAACAAGAGTGACTTCCGCCAAGATGGAGGTATAGGTGGATGTGCCGTGCCTTCTCACACAACCAAGTTTAGGGACAACTAAATATTAGCATCAGAAAACACAACCAGAACACGGAAAACTGAACTTTTCGGAAGTCCGCTAACAACAAATTCTTCAGCCCGACCGGTAAGGGGCGAAACCAGCGTCTGGTGAGGAGTTGCAAAGGAGGGCTCGGTCGGACCGGGCGCGGAATCCAGATGCGCGAATCCGGACGCGCGGGTTCCAGACGCAGGATTGGACCTGGTGAGCGACCGAGCGACCCACCGGGTGAGTGACTGCGGAGGAGACAGTGGGGAGGTGGTGCAGC